TATATGGTAGTCTATGATAAAAAAATAAAAAAAAAATATTAAATAAATAATTAATGCATGGCTGTATCTATAACCACTTGACCTTGATCATATGTATACTTCAATTTTTTTTCTTCTTTTCATATGTACAATTATATGCCCGTATTTCCTAATAAACAAGGACAAAGGCTAATTTGCCAATTAGCTTAAAAGTCCTCTAATGTTTCTATATGACAAAAATGCCCCAGGGCGAAAATAGAGAGAGGTACTCTTCTCTGGTTGGCAGTTTCCACGTGGAATGTACAGAGCTCTTTCTCAATCAACAATGGTTGGTAATGCATAAAAATATCGAAACTAGCTGCTCGCACCATTTTTGTTTTTCTTCTACACCTGTGAGTATAAATGAGATAATTTAATTTTTTTTTTTTGAATATTTGTATCTAAATTCATTGTTTTATCGGTAGAAAATTGAACATGTTTTGTCTAGTTGGGCAAGTTTTCTACTGCATGTTTGTTGGTTGTGGTGGTGGTGGTTTTCTTTTCCGGCACGATGCGTGCATCGGTGAGAGACGAATGACAGTGATTTCTATCTTCTTCTCCGGCGTGAGTTCTCTATTCTCTATTTTTACTCTTCTATGCGTGTAGTTGCAAATACATTTATGGTTGGGCTGCGTTTCTCTTAGGAATTAAATTATCAATTATGCTGGTGGCTGATGTTGGAAATTGGAAAACCTCCATTTGGATTTTGATATATGGTGAAATTAAACTATGTTGGTGCTAACGTTGTCCACTATCCGAACTCGAACCCGACCCGACCCGACCTAACTCAACTTTTCCGGGTTGGGATCGTATATACACCTAGTCTAAATCGTCTATCTGCTACTGAGTTTATCTATGCATGCACTGTTAATTTCTCAGTTTAAGCGCTCTGGGTAAACTCACTATCTAAGTTGTCCGTATAACCTTGTTGCGTGTATGAAAGTCATTAGGGGAGCCAGAGTTTTAAGTCCAGGGGCCAACGCATTAACAAAATTATGAGGGGGGCTGGGCCGTAAATATAAATTTATAGAGATTTGAGAAATGTTGGGGGACCCAATCCTCTCTCCCTCTCCACCACTGCTAAAGGGTAAATGTGGTTGTTCAGCTAAATTTTTTTATTAGGTTAATCCAATTAGAGAATTTTGAGTAAATAAAAATTATCCATGAACTTCAACGAGATAAAATATTTTTAAGGGAGCAAATGCTAATTATCCCTTAAAATATTTAGATTGATTGAGTTGATTACAAGTTACATCATATATGCCAATATATAATTATTTTATATTTGGAATTTGTGATTATGCATTTCTATTAGGTAATATCCAACACCTAAAATAGTGTTTGATATTTGATTTCTTTAACATCAACCATTTACTTAAAAATTATCGAATTACCCTTTTTTTTTTTTTTTCTAATTTTTATTGTACATACTTTTTTCTTCTATTTTTATACATTTATTTTTTGTAATTTTTTAATTTTAAATTTTTTATTTGATGGGATCAATTCGGCACCTTTGGGTCAAACTCCCCACATTCGAGACTATTAGGCCAATGCCCAATAAATGATAAAAACTGTGGGCTGAAAGTGAAATGTTCGCCGTAGAAAGTGCGTATTAGTAAAGAGGTTATGGACAAATAGCTCTCTCTAATAAAGCCGACTAACACACGACAGGGTGTAGAGAAGAAAAAAGGTTGGCAACGAGCTCGAAGATAGCCGTTATACGAAGAAGATTTGAAGATTATTTTCATAAACAAATAACGAAATTGTGTAAATTCAAAGCGACGATTGATTGATCGATGAACATCTTGGACGAATAGTAAATAAAATATTATACTCTCTTCCCTGTTCTCTCTTAGACTTTGGTTTTACTTTTTCATCCAATGGCCGACGACTACACTGGCGCCAGGTGGACTTCTCCGGCAGCTAGGGAAGTAGGATTTGGAAGGAAGTCTTGAAGGTGTAAATTACTCCATCAAGTGACGCCGTCTGTGGGAGACTAGAATTGGGTTAATGAGTTGAGTTCTTCGGTCCAAGGGAGATCCATCTTCTGGAATGATTGAAGGAAGTGCTTTATTACCTTCTCAAAAAGCTCGAGTTCGAGTCGTTTCAACTCATATACCACCCCTACATGAGCCACGCAACACTCCATTATTTTTATTTAATTGAAATTTCAAACCTAACTAAATGATCTAGAAAATCTCCATCTACATCTAGAACCTAGAATTAGATGGTAATATGTAAGAAGATATCTAGTAGATGATGTAACAATTATTAAATTAATAAATGTAATAAACTATTAAATAGAAGATCAATATATATATTGATTATTATCAACCATGGAAGCTTCTTTCACCAATTTAATGCTAAAAAATGTATTTTATTCCTATAAGTCATGAGATGGATACATCTAATTCTTACTTTTCATCTTCAAACCAACCCCACCATTAATTAATACCAACATAATAATGTCAACTCTCCCTACTTTTCTATGTTCAAAGATGAATTTCCTTTTTTAAATGTATTTTTTTTCCTCAAAAAAATGATATAATAACAATAAATAAAAATTAAGGTTAATTAAGAGATAGGTTGTAGAAAAAGTATTAGAACTTTGAAAATTTCTTGCTAATGTTTGTTCTGGTTTTCATCTCATTTTTATTCTTTCCCTACATGAATTGATGTTTATTAAGATTTTCAAAAAGAACTTCTATTACAAGTTCAAAACTTTATCTCTTCTCCAAACATGATTTGACTGCTACGATAAAAAAGATTTATCTGTCCTCGTGTCATCCGGAATATGTGAACATTAAGAAAACAGCACCACAAAATTTTAAATGCCACAAGCTAGTCATTGTTAAATGACATAATTGCCCCTCTTATGAAAAAAGAAAATCTTCAACCCCTCTATAAATTCTCAGACACACAGTTATATATTTACACTGCAGAATCAAAACAACTCATGGCTAAAATCATCTCTCTCTTTATCACAACACTTTTTCTCTTTCTAGCTTTATCGGTCGTTGTCGCCCGGCCGTTTTATGACGTCACTCCGGTGAGCCTCTATATTTATATCATTTATATAAATACATGCATATATATGTATATTTAAATTCATGGCATGTTATTCATATATATATTTCAAATTTCTTTTTTCGTTTTGACTGTAGGTTAATGAAGCGCAGAGTTTCGGTATAGATGAAGAATATAATTCATGCGTAGGAGTTGGAGACGATGAATGCATGATGAGAAGAACGCTTGAGGCTAACCTTGACTATATATATACACAGAATCATAATAAGCAGCCTTGACCGATTTTTTATTTTTTTTTCGCAATTGGATTATGCGTTCGTTGTATAATATATTATACTATTTCATCTCATATTTTATTTCATTAGCATAATAAGTAGGCCTCTTTGTTTTACTACACGAGATCGAATATATTTTTTATTTTTTTTTATACTCTGGTTCGTGTTATAGCTAGTATATATGATCGATAAATGTTACTAAATTAATTTTGATATTATCGAAAAATTCGGTAAAATAAATTGAAAATCTAAAGAGCCGAGTAATTGCTAATTAGTATGAAATGAATTAAAAGAAATAGAGGGCAAATTTGAAAAAAACAACATAGTGTAATTATGATTTATGCATTATAAATTCGAATTCTAATAAAGAGCCGAATAATATAATTAATGGGAAAAATACAATTTTCATCCCTGAAGTTTGCACTGATTCCACATTTGGTCCTCTATGTTTACAAAACAATACATGTAGTCCCTCATGTTTCAAAATCTCAACACTTTTAGTCATTTCCGTTAGTATGAACGGAATGAAGCATCTGCCCATCACTACCCTAACTGACGGACTAATGGTAAATTGACGAAAATGACAAAAAATATTAAATTATTAAAATATAAGGGACCGAATGTATTTTTTGTGAACCTGGAATACCAAATATGAAATCGTTGCAAATTTTAGGAATAAAAATTGTAATTTTCCTTATAATTAATTTACATGAAATAAATTAAAAAGTCTTCAAATAACAGTTAATTCGAAAGAGAGGGAGTAACAATTAACGCATTTTGCCATAATTAAATTTTGTTCAATTAAATACGATTTTGCCACTTTATAATGAACATGCATGCCCTATAACCTATTTAAGGAGAAATAAATAAATAAAACAATTTCAATATTCATAATAAAATAATAAAATAAAAAAATGAAGCTCTATTTTTTTATTTTCTCAGCGCTCTTATTTTTCCTAACTGAAAAATCTTCAGCAAACCCTAAAAAAGTAACAGAAGAATTAATCAACAGGGTTTGCACCAAGACAACAAACCTCGATCTGTGTCGAACAATTCTGACCAATTACGTGTCAGCGCGATGGCACGTGACCAGGCTAAGTCAACGGTCAAACGTATCTGGAACCTGTACAGCAAGGGAATGAAGACAGAGATGAAAACGAAGTTCCACGATAGTTGGAAAAAGTATAGTAACGCTGAGCGTCAACTAACGGAAGTTAGTGCGTTCTTGCGGAACGGCGTCAGATTGTCCGTCAAGAGCCGTGCTGAGCTGGCATTGTCTGATGCTGAGTCAGCAGATAGAGAGTTGGGGCGTTTTGCGCCGGCCAGCGTGGCAGTGGGTAGCAGGAGGTTTAAGGATTTATGCAGTGTTCTAATTGTTTTGCTTGATGAAATTAATAATTAAAAAGTGATATTATTTGGGCGTTTTCCTAATTAATTAAATAATAAATTGTTGTTTTAGGATTTAATAAATTTCAATAGAAATTCAATCATTTGAATTGTATTAGTTAATTAAAACATAATTAGTTGAGAAGAAATCAATGGCAAGCAATGTTAGAGAAAATTAGGGTGGATATAGACCCAGATAAGCTACTGGATCACGGTTGGACAGTTCAGCCGATTTTTAAATTTTTATTTTTTATAATTACTTAGACATAATTTTTGTTGTAAATAAAACATATTTTTTTCCACACACATTAACTCATTAATTTTCACTCGGGTTATGATATTACGATTCAACCGGTCAAACCAGACCGGACAAAACAATTGTTCGCGGTTTAACTGGTTCAACGGGCCGATCTGGTCGGCATTTCAAAAGACTGATGGCCGGTCTGGTCAGGATTTCAAAATACTGATGGCTAGGGTATTTTAATGATTTTTTTTATATTATGTATTTTTCATATAATTCATGCATATTGATTAATTTTCTTAACATATACACAACAATTACAATAGAAAAGAGAGATGTCATCCGTGAATTTTGCATTTTACTAATTTAATACTCGATACATTAATAATACCCCATGCCATATTTATTCCTGGAAAACAACAATAATTTATTTGATCCGAACCCCTACATAAATAATTTCACTTTTCATAATTATGATTTTTTATTTAATTAAAGTTCATCACACATAACAATTAGGACACTGCAAAGATCTCGGAACCTCCGACTACTCTGCACAAAGTTCGGTGGCAGATACTGCCGGTACTTTCCGGCGAGTTCTCCATCGCCGGAGACGCCGGCATACAACCCCAGCAAAACTCGGTTCTTAACCGACTTTTTGTCGCCATCTTGCAAAAACTCGCTAGCTTCCGTCAGTCGATTTACGGCAATAGTGTATTTCTGCCAGCAATTATGTAACCTGATTTTCAGTTCCGATTTGTTGTTCTTTATTCCCTTGTGGAGATCCAAGATTTGTTTCCCCGTTGACTTTGCCTGGTCACGTGCCATCGCGCCGACACGTGCGAGGGTTCGAAAGAGGGGTTGACCCGTGTGATTGGTCAGAATTGTTAGACACAGTTCGTAGTTTGTCGTCCTAGGACAAGCCCTGTTCACGATTTCTTCGGTTACGTTTTTATTATTATTAGGGTTTGCCGAAGATTTTTCGATGAGGAAAAACACCAAGAGCATTAAAATTGAGCTAAGAAAAAGAGAGAGCTTCATTATATTTCTTTTATTGTGAATATTATGTTGTTGATTTTTTTGAGTTTGGACAAGAGCATTGTTTTGATTTCTTTTTTATACTGCGCATATCTACGCATAATTACACACACCCATGTGTATGTGTGTTTAGTGGATAGTTATTTAACATTATCTACGGTTAATAAACACCCAATGTAAATAACCAGGTGTAACATCTAACTTCCCCTGTTTATTTCTCTTCTTTTTCGGATGAAAGTTATGTTCTTAAAATGGCAAAAAATATTTATTGAAATAAGTAATTATGGCAAAATCATTTTAAGTGTCACTTTAGAAATTACATTGACGTGTTAATTAATTTTATTTATTTATTTTCAATGTCACCCTTATTTTATTACTTTAAATAATTAGTTGATTGATAATGAATGGACTAAAAATAATGAGAATGGTATTTTAGAGATAGCAAATGACTACTAAAGTACTAATCATCTCGAATATGAAAACGGACTCAAAAGTGTTTTAAGATGGCAAATGGCTCTTAATAGGGTGGAAATCGGAACGAAAATTTCAATTTCTGCCAATTCTGATCCCAAATATTTCGATTTCGGAACAATATTTTTAATTATGAATTTCAAAATTTCAATTCCCGAATTTCTGTTGAGCGGAATTAGAATATTTATAATATATATAAATTATGAGATATTATGATTTTTGATCCAAAATTTGCGATTTTGAAAAAAAAAATCTTTCCAATTTCCAAAATTAGGATTTCCGATTTTGATTCGGTTCGTCCAATTAGCACCAAAACGGGCCATGACCCAATCTAAAACGGGTCGGATTTCTTTGATTATAACAGGCCCGCCCAAGTGGATATTGGGCCTAAGATAAATTAGTGTGTTTTTTGCGTGTCAAATAAATAAATAAAACTATGCAATATACAGAGAATTTAGTATTTATTGTAACTATTGTACCTTAGCATATTCCCTTATAATTAATTATCGTGTACATGTATTAAATAGTTATTTAAAAAAATAAATTGAAAAATGGAATAGAAACTCATTTTATGGTCAACTGTGATTTCTAGTGAATCTGTGGAGCTTGACTTCAATTCGGTGAGGTCAACAGAATAGAATATAGGCCGGTTAATGTTTTGCCTAGGAATCAAATTAAAGACTTTGACTTATAATAATAATAATATATTCCTTTTTTTTTTATAATAAAAGCCAATTGAATATTTAAAATTCCGAAATTCGCTGTCGCCGGCTTCTGCTTCAACATGCTGTATTATGCATGAGAATTTCCGTTTTTTAGCTTATTTTATTTTTCTAATTGATATTAGATTTTGTCATAATTAGGAGAATATTTATTTATAATTAAAAATAATATATTGTGGTGTTGGCGGTATTTTCAAGCATGTGTTAGGTCGATTTCTCCAATGATCAGATGACATTGATTTTAACACGATTTGAATTTCTATATAAAAAATAAAATAAAATTTTAAGGTACTTAATTCGTCAATTTATATCAAGATTGTGTACTAAAAACTGCTCGTTAAAATGCACACATCAATATAAAAATGTATACGTAGGTGAATGTATGTAAATCTACGATATAAACCATCTTATAATAATATTAGAATCTAGAATGCGCGTGGATTTAAATCAACATTGACTAGAACATACATATTAATTACATGCGTATAAGAAGATGAATAATTATGGGTCAATTGACAATGTAAAAAAGTAAAACTATCCTATAAGTATTTATCATAAATGTAATATACCATTTATGGGGTCTATAAGAATTTAAAAATATGTATTGTCTTATAAATTTAACGAATTATTCATTTAGCACATTGTCCTCGAGTTGTGATCGGGAAAAAATATTTATTTAACCGATGTTATTAATTTACTGGGTATTAATTTATCGAGGTTTTGCGACAATATATATATATATATATTTTCTTTTATAACATTTTCACAAATCTAGAATTAAACAACAAATAAAGTAGTATAGTTATTTTTTTCTATTTAATTCAAATTGCTAGAAGTAATTAAGGTGAATTAATAATTATCTAAAATAACCACTTAAAGAAAGGGGGGGAATAAACAAAGTTCTCAAGAATCCGGGCCCCTAATAATAAATATTAACGGAGAAGATAAAGAGAATTTTGCTTAGGGATGAAGTAATAATCTAAAGAAAACGCGTTTTCGCACAAAAACACGTTCCCCAATGAAAAAACCATAGTAATTAATTTTATCCCTTTTCTCTCTTTCTCTCTCCTCCTTATATACATCTCCCTATCTCTCTCTCCCCCCACTGTGCATTACTTTCTCTCTCTAGAAAAGCAGAAAAATCTCCTCTCTCAAATCTCTCTAGTAGAGAGAAACCAGTTACAATTCTTCATTTTAGCCACAGCCGGAAAATCTAGAAAATCATGAGTTACTACAATCAAAATCAACCCCCCGTCGGCGTGCCGCCCCCGCAAGGCAAGTATTTTTTAATTTTTTTTTTATTCAGATCCAATTTTAGGGATTTTGATTTGGGAATTAGGTCTGATTTTGAATTTTTTTTTTTGATGTAAAGGTTACCCGCCGGAGGGGTACCCGAAGGATGCTTATCCGCCGGCCGGCTACCCGCCGCAAGGGTACCCGCCGCAGGGTTACCCACCCCAGGGGTACCCGCCGCAGCAGGGCTACCCGCCGCAGTACGGGCAGCCTCCGCCGCCGCAGCAGCAACAGCAATCCGGCAGTTCCGGTTGCATGGAAGGATGGTACGCCCTTCATCCGAATTTCGTTTTTCTGTTTTTCGAATTTTATTTTTATTTATCTCCTCTGCGCATGTGTTCGTGATTAATTGCGTCTGGATGTTGATTTTGATTGGCTGAATTTTCGTGTGTGGGATTCAGATCTGATGAATTACGGTTTATTTTAGAATGTTTGATTTTTGATTAATTGACGCCGATTTACCGTGCGCCTCCACCGTGCACGGTTTGCTAACGTGCACCTCCCCGTGGGTGGGTTGGTGGGACCCGTTATTGAAAATCTCTTTTTCTAAAATACCAAATATACCCTCCTCTTTTGTGTGTGTGTGTTTGTGTTTTTTAAATTCAATCGTGTTGGCTTATAATTATAAGCATTGATAAAAAAGATTAATTGATTTTTATTGTTGAATTTTGTGCAGTTTGGCTGCTCTCTGCTGTTGTTGCCTTCTGGATGCATGCTTCTGATGGAGAAGAAGGATTGAGTTGTTTATTAAAACAGAACCAAAAAAAAAGAAAAATTCAAGAATTGATATTTGCTATTGCCCCCCTCTTATTTTTCCTTTTGCATTGAGGGTTCTTGTTAATTCTACAACTTTAGCTTTCGCCCTTTCTTTAAATAATATTATGAACCTTCACATTGAATTTAAGTTCTTGATTTTCAGTTAGGAGATTTAAATTGCGTTTGCCCTTTTCAATTGTGGTGTAAATTCGTATTCACCGGAGATGATTTGTCGTTTTTAAGTGTTTCCAAGTATTAAATACAAAATCTTGATAAATTAATATTCGATAACCTCAATAAATTACAACAACGCTTACATAATAATTACTTCTGCGCTCGACTAGTTTGATAATATTAAATTAATAAAATTTTGTTATTTGGGACAGTATTCCATTGTTCTGTTGCTAAGTTTGTTATGCTGTCCTTAATGATGATGGTTAGCTGTCAAATCATGGCATATTTAAGTCAAATTACAAAAATTCTCCTCTTATTTGGATAATTATATCTATCATTTAACTATGAATTTTCTTACACCTATTTTGTGTAAAAATATAGTTTTTGATGCACCACAATCTGATATATATATACAATTCAAGAAGACATTTTATAATCATCTTACTTCAAAATGTATAGCTCGAATACGATAAAACGGATATAAAAGTAATAATATTCTATATAATTAAGAAGATTCCCCTACATGTTGTAATTTATCCTTAAAATTAAGTTTATCGTTAATTATTAAGTGTATTTTTCTTCTTGTTCATTGTAACAATCGTTGGTCAAACTGACATTATCCAATTGAAAAACATGATTTATTATCCGACAGTAGTTTGTTGGATCTTAATTGTTTATGATAATTTCAAGATTCAAGACCTTGAAAAGACCCTTTTTTATTTTTATAAAGATACATAAATAAAAAAATGCAAAGTTCATTGTCACTCCATACCTAGTTGTCGTCCACTTCCTTATGAACTAAAGATGAATTACAACGGCTTGTTAGAGTACTAAATTAAAGATGAATTATTTGTATCAAAAGTAACTCAACGGTCTGGATCAAAATTAACTCAACAATCTGTTACAATAGCGAACTGGATTAAAGATGAATTACTAATATCAAAGGTAACTCAACGGTCTGTTAGAGTAGAAAATTTGATTAAAGATAAACTATTTGTATCAAAAGTAACTAAACAGTCTGCGTCAAAAGTAACTCAAGGGTCTATTAGAGTAGCGAACTGGATCAAAGATGAATTATTTGTATTAAAAGTAACTCAACGGTCTGTTAGAGTAGCGATCTGGATTAAAGATAAACTATTTGAATAAAAAGTAACCCAACGGTTTGTTAGAGCAGTGAAACTGAATTTTATGTCCACGAGTAACTAATCCATATTAAAGTTGATTTTTTTACAAACTGCGAGGTACTCGATTCTAAAATCTTGTACCAACTTACAGTCCCGAAATCAGTTGAGCTACACATGCGGACATCGGCATTAAAAATGAGTTGGTTTTTGCTTTTCTAGTTGGATATGTGACTGGGTTCTTTATAAAAAAAAAAATGTTTTATATTTTCTTTTGTATTATATTTATATGTTTTGGGTGTTCATTGAAAAGGATTTGGTGGGGTGGACCGTGGTCACCTGGTTATCTTTATATAAATAAATAAAGAAATGTATGATGTATATTTGCTGGAGTGAACTGTATTTCACATGGGGGTTTCTTTCTATTACCAACATAAGATTGTGTGATTAATTTAATGTAGAGCCGATTTGATTTCGATTTAAATTCGAAGCCCGAAATAATATGTAAGCCCAATAAATTGAAAGTTTTTGCAAAAGCTCTTAGAAAGGAGAGGGAATTATTTTGACTTGGAATCTTTCATTTTTAGCTCTTTGTAAAATCAATATCTCTTAAAATAAATTGTTTTAAGCTATTTTTATAAAAACAACCATCGACTTGAGCTTTATTTATTTTTTTAAGTTTTATTTAATAAAAAATGTTAATAAAATTGTATCGTTTTTTTTTTTTAATTATTGAATAAAAAATGTATTGTTATAAGACATTTTTTCGCTAGAAATTGTTGGACAAAAATTATATATTTCTAGGAAAGCCTAATTGGTAATTATGATGTCATAATTGTGTATATTCTTTTTTTAATTTTTTTTGCCAAAAAGACTTTATTATTCCATTAATATTAGGATAAATTACAAACACCCCTCATGTATGGTCAATTTACGAAAAAACCCATCTTGTTTGGATAATTACACCTACCTCCTTCAACTATGATTTTTCTTACACCTCCACCCTTATGGTGTCAAATTCAACATAATTATCTAGATTTTGTGGAATGTGTTCTAGTTGTACTCGTTTTGTGTAAAAATGCAGTTACTGATCCACCACAATCTGATATATACAAGCAAAAAACACAGATTATGATCATCTTGCTTTAAAATGTGGAGTTCGAATGGGATAAAGTGGCTACAAAAATGATAATATTCCATATAATCTCGAAGATTCCACTAGATTTGAAACCACAAGGATGAACTAGTAAAAATATTTATAGTTGATGGGTGGTTGTAATTACCCAAACTGAAGGGGGTTTTCATAATTTGGCTATACATTAGGGATGGTTGTAATGTACCCTTAATATTAAAAGGTTTCGGGCCTCGTTAAAACGTTGTGGGCCTTTTCTTACACCTCCACCCTTATGGTGCCAAATTCAACATAATCTTCTAGATTCCGTGGAATGTGCTCTAGTTTGTACTCGTTTTGTGTAAAAATACAGTTTCCGATCCACCAAAAACTGATATATACAAGCTAAAAATCACATATTATGATCATCTTGCTTCATAATGTAGTGTTTGAATGGGATAAAACGGGTACAAAAGTGATAATATTTCATATAATCTCGAAGATTCAACTAAATTTGAGGAGTTGAGGGGGTGGTTGTAATTATCCAAGCAAGAGGGGTGTTTTTGTAATTTGACCATACCTCAGGGGTGTTTGTAATTTACCCAAAATAAAGTAGATAGTGAAAAAAGAGTTGGGTATTTCAAATTCCGATGATCTGAAATTCTCAAATTGAATCCCCAATCTCAAAGTTTCAGGTAATTCTCCATCTTTCGCCCTCGTCGCATTCCTGATTTTAGTTCCAATTTCGAGGTTTGCTGTTCGAATTCGAAATATGTAATTAGGGTTTAGGGTTTAGGGTTTTGGCTTCACTTGCAATGCTGCGCTATTCTAGTTTGCTCGAATTGATTGTGTAGGAATTCAATAGTTAGCTGATTACGCTACAAAATTTGGTGCCAGTTGATTATTTTCTTAGGAATTTTGCCTGTACTTGATAATTAATGGGAGCTGGTTCTTGAATTCTGAAAGCATGTTCATTGGGGTTTCGTATATTTGATCGAATGTTTATTTCGGAAAAAGGAGGTAGAATGGTACACACATTGGATTATGATTTTGACCAATTTGATTGATTTATGATGATGTTGTAATGATTTCGGTTCCGTGTAGGTTAGGGCAAATGGAGGAACACGAGTTTCATCAGAATGGTATGACCCTAAGCTTGGAGAGCGCTGTAAATAGCTGTTTCGGGCAGTAATCGAAGCGACGAGAAAATTAGTGATGTGCGGTTTATCAAATGACGGCTCGAAGAGATTTATCACGAGGTTAGGCCATTTTCCACTTGGACATAATCGTCTTTTTCTTTTCCGTTTAATCATGTTGCCGTAATTTTGAGAAAAATAAGTTTCAATTATAAGATGATAAAATGAATTTACATAAAATGTGGTAGAAATACATAGTTTTAAACCGATTATATGATGCTATTTAAACAAGAGGAACTATTTAAGAATCGAGCTATGTATTTCTTTAAAGTTGGCTGTACAAACTAGATCAGTATTTATCGTTTCGAAATAATTTATGAAGGCTCTGGTTTTAGCATATTTTATATCAAAAGGTTATACAAGCTCGTCTTTTTGTATTGCAAAATAGTGGTAGTTCATGTATATATGAAAATTTTCTCAAGGCCTCACAGTTTTTCCACTCGTCTACTATTTACGCGTTCAGTCAATTTATGCACCCTACGTTGGAAGAAAAGGAACGAAAAATAAATGCATCTATGTGCCACAAGATCAACTCCTTTATGTAGATTTTCATATTAATTACGTATGTTCTTGAGGAAATATGATTTATGTGAATTTACAAGTCTAGATTTGCATGTTACGAAATTTAAAACCTCACGCTGGCCCATTAATTCAAGCATTTAAACTGCGGAAAGAGTCGAAGAAACAGGCTGTCGATAGCTAAATTGGGCCATTTGTTATTACGAGACAAATACCACCCCCAAAATCAGGCCCATTAGTATTCCTCTTTATAACTTATCAGCAAAGCATGAAATCAGAAACCCTCATTTTTGATTTCTCGTTCGCCGCCGCCGTCGCTGTCACAAGCTCAGGTAATTATTCATCGTATATTCCGAGGATCCTTGATTTTTGTTTTGATTCTTCTTCCTCCATTAATGCATTTCGCTACGCAAATTTAACCATATCTGCGGCTTTTGTTTATTATACATAAATCTTGCGCGATCTAAGCATCAATTCCTAGGAATCTCAAAATATTCTTGGACGTTGTTGGATCACGAGTCGTAGGTTTTTTTTGGTAACTTCTTGTGCCGATTTAGGTTTTTCGGAAACTTCATGATTCAATGTGGTTATTGTTGGTGGTTTTTTAAATTTCGGTGTTTTTCGGAACTTCTTGTTGTACAATGGATATGGTGGATACTCCATTGAAGACAACCGTACCATTCAACCAATTTTTTAACGATAATTAGCTTAACATTAGATTTTCGTTTCAAAAATTTATTGATTCATTATAAAGGGTGTCTCGTTTTTGTTTATACATGTAGACTAGCGATACCTATATTCGCCGTAGATGGACTCATTAATACTCTAGAAATGGAAGCGAATGAACACCAAATTATTGAGTTCTAGCCCAACTATTTTTGTTCATTCTTTCCATAAAGTCGATAACGGATACCTCCAAATTTTAACCTATAACTATTAAATTTTTTAATGTGGTTTTGCCTTCTATTTGCTGCCGGCTGTTACTGTTCACCTCGTCGAGACTTACTCAAACTTGACAATTCTGTTGCTTGAAAACATTACAGTAGAATGTCGATAAATTAATACTCGATAAACTAATAACCTCGATTAAATGATAGTTTCTCTCGGTCCCGACTCGATGAAAAAGTGTTAAATTATTAACTCGATAATTTAATAATTCGCTAAATTAATAGAATTTCCCTAGTCCCGACTGTATTAATTTTATAGAGGTTTAACTGCAGTTGGTTTTTATTTGGGAATTGCAGTGGCTTTTGACTTACGTCTAGAGTCCATTTATCTTTCGCAGATGAAGCGCAAGTGTGAAATAGAATCCCCGTTATCTGAAAGATCATGGAGTTATTCCTTCCCAGGTGTGGCAGAAAGATACAATTTTATTGAAAGAATTGATGACGATGATGATGATGATGACGAAGCTACTAGTTATCTCAGAAGATTCGTCGAGATTGATTTAGAGTTGGTGGTGATGATGAGGAATATGACTGCGGACCAGGCAGCTGCATTTGCAGCTCAAGCAGTTGCCGAAGCAGAAGCTGTAATTGCTGAAGCTGAAGAGGCTCAACGGGAAGCCGAGGAGGCAGAAGCTGAAGCCCGAGAGGCGGAAGCTCAGTTGCAGGCTGCTTTGGAGGATCTGCTGAGACGAAAGAGGATTCGTAGGGTAAGATTACTCATTGCATCCTTTTTTTTAGGGAAAATTACAACCACCCCTGAGGTGTGGTCAATTTACGAAAAAACCCCTCTTGTTTGGATAATTATATCTACCCCTCAACTATGATTTTTTCTTACAACTCCACCCTTATGGTGTCAAATTCAACATAATCATCTAGATTTCGTGGAATGTGCTCTAGTTTGTACTCGTTTTATGTAAAAATACAGTTTTGATGCTCCACAATCCGATATATACAAGCTAAAAAACACAATATTATGATCATTTTGCTTCAAAATGTAGAGTTTGAATGGGATAAAACGGGTGCAAAAGTTATAATATTCCATATAATCTCGACGATTTCACTAAATTTGAAACCGCAAGGTTGGACGTGTAAAATGATTAATAGTTGAGGGGGGTGGTTGTAAGTACCCAAACTAGAGGGGTTTTTTGTAATTTGACCATATCTCAGGGGGTGGTTGTAATTTACCCTTTTTTTAATTGAAAAATAGCTGTAGGAGAAAGAAACTCCGCAGATGTTTTCAGGTTTTCGGGTTTTCTTTATACGTGTATTGATTTTGTTGTTTACTGAATATACAGGGGGGCAAATACTGGCGTTTCATTGTCGATGGAGTCTGATACGAGGATTAGCCAGTTAGATACTGTCTGATTGAAGTCCATTTTATTTTATCTGTTATATAATAAATAAATTATAATAATAATGATGGCGAAAGATTTAAGCCTGAAATTTAACGAGGCGTTCTCGGAGCGAGAGCGAGACTGCAGATTTTAGTTTTGTTTTTAACCAATACTTCCAGACAATACACTATAGCAATTGCCAGGAACTTATCTGGTGCTTTGATTTACGGTTTATAATATATTTGGTGAAGTTTATTGTGTATATTATTACCGTTTATAAATTTGATTGCCGTAGTCGAGCAGGTATATTGTAGACGGGGTCGAAGATTGGGATTCGGGAAGGGTTTGAAAAAAGTCAACCCATGATCAACTCAGGGTTCGGTCATTTGATTCCATTTTTTTATTTTTAGTTAAAGAGGTCAAATCAGACCGCCTCGTCGCTAGGTCACGGTCGAATTGGTCCGACCTGCCGGTTCGGTCACGGTCCATATGGTTTCTTTTACCACTAGAGACTTTTATATCTAAATTAGTACCTAATTACTTGCATTATAGATATTTAGAGGCAAAAAATCAACAGAATCAAACTTCCCAAAATTCATCACAAGTAAATTGATGAACATCTGAAATACACCAAGAATCATACACCAAAAAAAAAAAAAAAAAAGAGCACAATCAAACTTATGAAATACCTGAAAAAAATAGCTCAAAGAACAATTTTCAAGAAACAAAAAAAAAAAAGAACGAATTAATGGCGGTGGAAAATTAACAAAGAACTAATCGTTCATAATCCAGCAGCAATTTCAACAGAAGCTGAGTCGGATTCGAGCTGGCTGTAATTTCCTTTGGACTTAAAAAGTTGGATATGATGGTGCTTGCAGTACAGTGTACCCTCGTGCGCTATATAATTCGACGGACTAATCGTACATCCTCCATGGCTGCACTTGAAGCAGCTCTTGTGGTACGCAGCTCCGTTCACACTAACCTTTTTTCGCCAAAAAAAAAAAAAAAAAAACCGTTAATAAAATAATGCATGCAATGCGTATTTGTAAATTCGATTTTTTACCTTTTCGATGGGATAAACAGTCTTGGTACAACCAACGCATTTGTCCCTCGTGCCACCGAACATACTGGAAACCTTGCTTGCATTCTGTTTAGTAATACGAAATTCAAATTTTATTTTAATTTACATTTTCTGTAAATTAGTATCGAATTTAATTAGCGTGCATGTGTATATATATACCTCGTTTTCGACCGTCTTTTCCGGTTTCACGATTTTTGGTGTTCCTGCAAAGAAGTTTAAACAAACACAGCACAAGTTGAGGCAGATAATTAATTATAAGCAAATAAAATGATCATAATAAATATTTAAGTATTACCTTCGAAACTTTTATCGAGACTGCCGGTTCTCTTGAACAGCTGATCAAAGTGAGGTCTGCAGTAGAGAACTCCCTCGAAAGAATTGAAATTTCCCAGCTGCAAAATGATCATAACCAAATATTTTGTTTTTTCTTTTTTTTTTTAAAGGAGAGAGAGAGAGAGAGAGAGAGAGAGAGAGAGAGAGAGAGAGAGAGAGAGAGAGAGAGAGAGAGAGAGAGAGACCTTGAGGGTGCTTTTGCAGTGGTGGCATCGGAAACAGGCCTTGTGAAAAATGCGGTTATCGGCGGCAAGACGATCAACCAGATACACGGTGCCGCTACAAGCAGTGCATTTCTGTGTTGTACCTGCAAATGCCATTTTCTTTATTTTTTTAATTTCTTTATTTTCAAATTCGAGAGAAAAGAGAACAAATTCAATGGAATTCTAGTTCCCTTTCCTCCCTTTTTTTACTTTGCAACTATATGATCTTTTTCTTTGTCTATCTGTATGAATGAGATTGCTTTTGAGGTTAAATAAATAAATAAAAATTAGTGGGGTGGTTTAGAAAAGAGATCAAAGGAAGAGAGAAAACAGAGACAGTAAAAAAAATTGTGTGCGGTGCAGTAAAAGTCGGGATGAATTAAAGGGATGGCCGTTCAATCATCCTTTCCTTAACTTCAAAACAATTCCACTTTTAAAGGTATTATTATTACTTTTAGAAAAACCCCCCTGAATTTAGGCTAAATTATAAAAACACTCCACCTATCTGTAATTGCATAAACCCCCAATATTTGTTTCCATCTTACATCGACCTCGTTACGGAGTGATTTTCGCGGAATCTTTTTTTTTTTATTCTAGTGAATATTTCGCGAAAATTGTTAATTCTACACCTGCAGATGTGACATTTCTTTATGCTACTTTTTGAAGACAAAAATTACCCTCAGATGAGTGATGGTAATACTAAAAAGTTGTGAAGGTGTTATTTAAGAAGAATAAATATTCGTGTAAAGGAGGTTAATTTTTATCTTTAAAAAGTAACATAAAGAAATGACGTCTGCAGGGATAGAATCCGCATTTTTTCAGGAATAATTCTTCGGCTCAAATCACACCATAAGGGGTTTGCTGTAAGAAGGAAATAAACGTTGGAGGTTTTGGTAATTACAAATAAATGGGGTATTTACATAATTTATACTAATTTTAGAGGGTTTTTGTAATTCACCCTTATTTTTATTTGATATTGAAAACACATACCACAATTATATGGGCAATCTAATTTATTTTTGTGAAATTGCGAGAAATATTGATAGTGCATGCATAAAAAGAGAGATGTCATACCAACAAACCAAATGATTTGTGGTCAATTTGAATGAGAGGTTTTGGTGTAACGTAACGATCATATATAATTATGTATGAATCGAAATAATTTAATTTTCAAGAGAGTAATTATAAGGATCCATTACCAATATTTGAAAATTTAAAAAGGGTATATTATGATTGTGTCACTCTTAGAGTTTAATCTAATTAAAAAAAATTGTTGTGAAGAAAATGTAAATACCTCCTAAAATTAATGGATTGACACAATTTTCCTTTTTTTTAATGAAAATGGTGAAATATTAAATTACCCACAAGTATAAAGGAGAGTAAATTGTTTTCAAACTACTTATGAAATCCAATACGCAAAAGGGCATTTGGTCTAGTGGTATGATTCTCGCTTCGGGTGCGAGAGGTCCCGAGTTCGATTCTCGGAATGCCCCAAATCAAAGAATATTTTTATGACTATTTTGGTTTTCTGCTATTATTATGATATAATTTGGGTTGACCAAACAGTAAGCAATTTATTAGAATTCCATTTATTTCTTCTTCTCAAATGTTGAAGTGATCTGCCAAGAAACTCCCAAACATTTATTATTAGATAAAAAGTAAACACAAATAAAATCATGCTGAATCTCATATCCCTCAAAAAAGAAAAAAAATACATCATGCTGAATAAACACAAGTCGAACTCAAGTACGAATTAGCAAATACCTCAAAGAGTACGAAAGAGACCAACTTCATTAGAAATGGTAGTAGTAGCGACTAGCGACTATATATTAGAGTCGCAGTACTAAATCTGCAAAGATAAGAAACAACGGAACTTTTTCAGTCAGAAGCATTTGATGATTTTTCGCGAATTATTATGCCAAAAACGGGAGTTAACATAGGTTGATTAAGAGCTTTAAGAACAAATATCTACTTGTTTAAGAATTCACCACGGTTTTCATTATTTAAGATTCCCATCGAGAAAAGCCAAACCTAGTCCCACCCTCAACTTGCATTATAGAAATTAAATGTTGTCCACAAGAAACATACACTATACAACATCACACTTAAGAAGAGAGATCAAGAAGTATATAAACAAGAGGGCATTTGGTCTAGTGGTATGATTCTCGCTTTGGGTGCGAGAGGTCCCGAGTTCGATTCTCGGAATGCCCCTTTTTGAACAAGTTAATTGCAATTCTTTTTTGGCTTTTCTCCCACCATTTTATATTATTTTTATTTTAAAAATTTTTAATGAAAGGGCAAGCAGCTTATGGAGACTTGAAAAATCGGTTATTGAGATGCTACCCCGGGTGATTATTAACTTTTGATGTAGTCAAATAACCACCCACTAAGCACACGCACCAACCTAAACACACATACACATGGGTGTGTGGGTGATTATGTGCAGATCAACGGTTATAATCCAATACTCGTTGTTTCTGGAACTTTCATGGAATTGGCAATAATCCAATCAAGAAAACGAACCTTAGTGCCACCCCATAACTAGCCATTATAGATAATAAAGGTTGCCTAAAAGTAACAAATGACTCTTGAAATTAAGTAACCTACATCTAGATCCTAAATCCAAAACATTATGCACAAAAACAATATCATCTTTAAGAAGATAGATCAAGCAATAATAGCAAAAGGGCATTTGGTCTAGTGGTATGATTCTCGCTTTGGGTGCGAGAGGTCCCGAGTTCGATTCTCGGAATGCCCCCATTCAAACAAGTTAATGCAATATATTCTTTTTGATTTATCTCCTAAGATTTTATATTCAATAAATTGTTAATTACAGGGCTACCAAAATACAGACGCTGGCAAAGTCAACTTAAAGGTTGTAAATAGTTCAGATCACAATGTCGAAGTGATCTAGTCCAAACCCGACCAAATAAAACTCCTAGGTGCTTACTAAGTTAAAACCGATACAATACGCTCGATAAACAGAGTCCATATTGAATAAGAATTAGCAAATAGCTGACAGAGTATGAACACGTAATCAAGCTCGGAGAAATGATAACTATAAGTTATAATGGTCTAAGATCAACAAATGACTTTTGAATCTAAGTCAACTACGTCTAGAGCCTAACTCCAACATCAGCTTACAGAAGACAGATCAAGTTATTAACTCACAAGGGCATTTGGTCTAGTGGTATGATTCTCGCTTTGGGAGCGAGAGGTCCCGAGTTCAATTCTCGGAATGCCCCATTTTTTTTAATGACTTTTTTATTAATTTTCTTTTCTATTTTGCTTTTCTACTATGATATAATTTAGGTTGACCTGACAGTAAGCAAACTTGGTGACACTTGTTTGGAAATTGTTAATAAAAGGGCCACCCTCTTACGAAGCAAAAAGTCAACTCAGGAGAGAAATCTTTTAGGCAGTTATAGAATTGTCATTTACTATAAGCTACACAATTTCAAAATTCTATTTATTTCTTCTCAAATGCTGAACTGAAGTGATCTAGCCCAAACCCAACAAGAGTTACATGATATGCACAAAATTAAAATAGTGAACTAAGAACTCGAGCAAGAACGTATAGATGGGCGTGGTTTCCACACCACGTCAAAAGTTGATTAAGACCTTTTAAAACATATACTATTATGCCGAATAAAGATAGTCAAATTTGAATAAGAACTAACAAATAGCTGATAAGAGTATGAAAAGAAACCAAACCTCGAGAAACTGTAGGCTACACATTAGAGTCCATTAGTCAATCTGTGAAAATAAGAAAGAATTTTTTTTCAGAAGCATTTGATGATTTTTTGCGAACCATTATGCCATCATACGGAACTGGAAAACAGGTCTTAACAGCAATGAAATTGTTGAGCCATAATACGGAATGTAACCAAAAGCGTGGTATCTTAATAATGAACTTAAAATAACATGATATGCACAACATATAAAAAGTAAATTAACGAACTCAACGAAGAATTATTACGTGAAATGGATCACTCCAATGACAGAGGTTGATTAAGAGCTTTAAGAACATCTGTCTGTTTAAGAACTCGCCAAGGTTTTATCATTTAAGAATCAAATCAAGAGAAGTCAAACCTAATCCCCCTTTAATTTGACTTATAAACATAAAGATTGTCTAAAAACCTATCGAAGTGAAATTTATAATTTTATATAGACTCTAAACCCAATGCATTATTGCATTCTATAACATCAGCTAAAGAAGACACATCTAGCAACTAATACAACAGGGCATTTGGTCTAGTGGTATGATTCTCGCTTTGGGTGCGAGAGGTCCCGAGTTCGATTCTCGGAATGCCCCATCAAATAATTTAATGCAATTTCTTTTTTGGCTTTTTCTCCTATTACATTTTTTTAATTTTGATATTGTAAATAAAAGGGCAAACAGCTTATAGAGGCAGGCAAAGTCAACCTAAGAAGAGATCAAGAAATAGTCTCGATAGCAATTATAGAATTTAAAATTATAACAAGTTTATTTTAGATTTTAGAATTCCATTATTTCTTCTTAAAAGTCAAAGTGATCTAGTCCCGACCCAACTAAAAAATACACATAATATGTAGAATAAACACAGTACAAAACGTAAACTACAGTCTTACAAGACAAGGAATTGTTAGACCATGTTTCGTAATTTACCCAAAATCCTGGCATGTAACAATGAAGCTAAAACTAAATGGTATGCACAATACAAAAATAGTGAATTAAAAAACTTTGGGAAGAATGTATAGTTTGCATGGATCACTACACAGGGTTTAATAAGACATTTACGAGCAAATATCTGATTGTTTAAGAATTCACCAAGGTTTAGTTATTTCAAAAGAGTAAATCTAATACTCGCATGGTTTTCAATAATCCAATCAATAAAATGAACCTAGTGCTACCCCTTAACTATACATTATAGACAATAAAGGTTGTCTAAAAGCAAGAATGAATTTTGAATCTAAGTCAACTACATCTAGAGCCTATATCCAAAGCATTATGCACTATACAATATAAGATCTAACAAGAGAGATGAAGAAGTATATAAACAACAGGGCATTTGGTCTAGTGGTATGATTCTCGCTTTGGGTGCGAGAGGTCCCGAGTTCGATTCTCGGAATGCCCCTTTTTCAAACAAGTTAATGCAATTTTCTTTTTTTGGGTTTTCTCCTGTCAAATATATTTTGGATTTAATTAAAGGGATAGCAGCTTACAATGCTGAAAGAGTCGATTCAAGGGTGGAAAGAAGTCCGGATAGCAGATATAGAATTATTAAAGTGTTATAAGCTATAAAGATTTTAGAAGTCCTTTTATTTCTTCTTCATGTCAAAGTGATCTAGTCCAAAGCCACCTCAAAAAACTCCTACATGTTTATTAGTTAAAACAAA